AGCATTATAATCTCACTTTGTGAGGAGGATTCTTCCAGAAGATAATTACGCGGAATGTAGTTTCTTTGCCAAACATGAATTGTACTTATCTCACGACGTGAGACCTTAATTCTCATAACGTGAGATATGATTTTTAGAAACTATAAATATCCTTCTACATAATCGATTTAAAGATGTTGGACCTGATATTCTAGAGAGAAAAAAATGAATTTAGAAGTTAGATAATAGTGAAAAACAACCTTTTTGGAGAGAGAACGTTTGGAGATTAAAGATTTGAAGATTACACATCACATTCGGTTTGCACTAGATTAACTATGTTAAATTCTTATGTTTTTGCGTGCTTATTTTCTGCCATGAGTAGCTAAATATTAAGCTTTCTTTTAGTGTAGATGAACCCTAATGCTACATGTTAGTTTCTTGCTTATATTTGGATTTTATGGAGTTGGTTAATGCATGTGTTGGATAATCATTACCTAACATGTTAAAATTTGCATCTTTGTTGCTTTGATTCAAGTTAAGTGTAGTTTAATGACTATTTGAATTTCATGAACTTGTTTACCTAGTAGTTTATGATCATTAAATTGCTAGAGCTAGGATTAATCACATCTTAGATTAAGTGATAAATATAACAACTTTAGCTGTGTTGGAGAACATAATTTGATCATAATTATATTTGGTAATTTGTCTTGATCATATATAATTATCTTACATAGCCCAATTATCATTAATATTCAACTTTGTGTTTATGATCATTATATAGTAGTTCATGAATTTGTGAAAATATTAGGAGATCGGATCAAGACTGCTGTCACACCCCAAAACCATGAACGGCGGAAACGTTCTGGGGCGGAAAACGTCATGTACAGTATCACAACAAGGAATAGTAGTAAACAAGCAACAACATCATCCATTGCATTAATAATATAATTTCATACAAGTGTGTTCTGTCAAGTTATATAGACACCAAAATATACATATCAAAATAAAAGACGAGTCTTGAACGAGCTCCATCTTCTCAAAACCTGGCACCTGTACCTGTCTACTGGTGACCTGAGAATACAAGTTACTTTGAAAGCGGGTATCAACTTTAAAGTTGGTGAGATCATAAGTATATTAGTGTCTGTGTTTGTATGAAAGCATTTGTAAAATGTTTGTAAGATGTTTTGTGAAATGTTTTGTACTCTCCTAGAAACCCTATGTTTTCTACTAATTGTAACCTTCTACTAAGTCATCTAGTGTCTGTGTGTGTGTGTCTCATGTAAGAGTGTGTATTTTCACAATTCTGACTATCATTAACCAAAAATATAGTTTTTACATTACCGTGCATCGTGTGAATATTCACGAAGTGAATGTAATGGGAAAATATCATAATACTATAGTATTTGTAATAGATGACTACTGTTGTACTAACTACCTTAAAACAAAATATGTTTAAAGTAACATGTGATCGACCTGTATCCTGCTACCGACTCTAGTAAAACGACGATGTAAGACGCCGTAAGAAATGACATTTGGCACCCGTAGACTTGCAAGTCCCACTGTAGCGAGTAGCAAGGTGTAGGATAGTCAATCCAGTATAGATCTATACGCAAACTCATACGCTCCCCAATTAAGGAGATTTTGGATACAAAAACAGTCATGGAAGGTAGTGCCATGCCCCGTTTAACGGTTCACATAACTGCATGAATGTACATGTAATAAATGTGCTAACTGTAAAGTGTATTCTTTCTCTATCTAGCCTGTATGTACTGTAATGTTCTGCATATGCTAGTTGTAATGTGTGTTATCTCTCTATCTAGCATGTATAGTAATGTATTGTGTGTACTACTCGTATTGACTCATGAATGAACTGACTCATTGTATGTTTCATTGTGCTAGTAATAATATTAGTATCTTCCTGTGCTACCCATATGGTAGCTTACTAGTAATGTATGATCATGTTTGTGAAACCCTTGCTACCCAAAGGTATGGAACTGGTTGAAAGAACTTTTATGTCTATATATGTATACATAATATATAACTAATATTTAGACGACCTTCGGACGGATAACCGATGCCCTAAAGCCACATCCCAACGAGGAAAAGGAGATAAAGTGAGCTGGCCTTCCTAAGCCCTTTAAACATTGCTTATATAACTATACATACATAGGCATGCATTTGATAATAAGTATAAAAGAGTTTAAGTAGAAGTATTTGACAAGTAAAAGAGTTTGTAAAACAGTTTGAAGCAAAACAGTTTGGTAAACAGTTTGAACAGTAAGCAAACTACTGGTTTGGTAGTTATTAATCACATGTGATTGATATAATAACTATAAATATTCACCTTGTATTCCCCCCATGAAAGCATTTAAAAACATTTAAATCATTGATTAAGGGGCATGAACTCACCTGTAGTGAGTGGTACGGATGAACTGAAGATGTAGGATTGCTAGGTGTCAAGTGAAGACTTGAACACACTCTATGATCCTAGTTAACATATAATATCACATATATGTATCCAATTAGTCTTTAAACAACTAATAAACAAAGATAAGACACCCTAGGACATGCTAAACACCTTATACAAGTGTTATAAGTCCCAATGATTGTATCTAAGTGTTGTAGGGAAAGGCTAGTGTGTTTGGGGTTCAAGGAAAACTCCTTTATGGAGTTTACGGTTTTGTGGTCACCAAAAAAAGAGTTTACGGTCGTAAACTCTTGAGTTTACGGTCGTAAGCTCATACACTCTTTGACCATTTGATTGTTTGAAGCCTTAAAAGTCCATAGAAGCTTTTCTACTTGAAGTATGTGTCTATGGAAGGAACTAGGGCACCATTTCACTCCTATTTGGAGTTTACGGTTCCTAAACCATTTTCCTTTGAGTTTACTACCGTAAACTCATATGGTTTATGGTATTTTGGGTTTTTCAAGTCCTTAGCTCATCAAGGAATGGATCCATGTTAGTTACTAAGGCATATGAAGGGAGTATGCACACTTTGGCACCTTTACTTGGTGTTTATGGTTCAAGAACTTCTTGAACTGTGAACACCTTGTTCTTGGTGTTCTTGGGGCTATTTCTTGATGTAAAGATGTATAACAAGCTTTAAAAGACTCTATGATAGAGGTACTTACTATATTGAAGCTTGAAATGGGCTAAAAGTCCAAGAACACTAGTGTGTGTTCTTGGTGAAAAAGGAAGAATCAACCTTTTGGAATGATTTCACGGTTAAAAGAGTTTTAAAACACTAGATTAAGCCATATAATTACTTAAGAAAGCTAGAATCACTTACTAGTTTGAAGATCTTGAAAATCTTTTGGGTGAAACTTGAGAGAGAAATAGGTTTGGATCTTGAGTTTTTGGAAAAAGTGTAAATAATGACAAATTCTCATATATATACTCCCAAATTTAGGGTTTTCGGCTGAAAATATTTTATTCAGGCAGTAAACTCTAATTTCTTAGACTTTTGGAATAACAGTGTTGCACAATAACCCTAGTGCATCCTCTCTCCTGATATCTCTAAAGTGTAAATCCTGAAATACTCAAACTTATTCTAAAAAGTCTAAAAATTAACAACAATTGTTCTGAATTCCATTGACTTGATATGTTTGTACAAAATAAAAATTTTGGGTTGTCACAACTGCTAATTACATTAAAATTGGTAATCAAGTGAATAAATCCAAACTTAGAAACTACACATAGGGAAAAGGGGATTCGAAGCTAAACAAAAGTGTCTTATTAATTTTGTTTACAATCGTTTATTTTAGTTGAGTGTTAAGTTTTAAGTTAATATGAACTTGCAAAATCAGATAAAACTCATTCTTTACTTATTGTTTTTAGATTGTTATTAGTAAATGAGTTGAGATATTTATTTTTTCTTTTTTACTCTTTTATCAAAAGTTCCACAATGGAGGCATAATTTAGGTGAACAATGCGCACAATTTTGGTTTTGAAGTGGACGAATCAATAAGGAAACAAAAACCAAATATGCTTTTTGCTAGATTGTATAAGATAATATTTCCTTTTAAAACAAAATCTTTCATTAATGAAGTATTTATATAAGGTTACAAAAATTATGATATACTATTCTTTGGTCTAATCTAGGCTGAATTATATATCAATTAGTCAAAACGCTTAAAGTAGACATAAACTTATGAAACATAATATCATACATGCTAGTAATTATTGTTAATGAAAAGAAGGTTCCACATGGTTTTGATCACAATACAATTAACTTTTAGAAAACTTCCTAACACTCATAACATTTAAGGTTTAAGTATAAAAAGTAATGCACTTTAATTTCTAGTATATCTTGATTTTCAAAATGGAAAGTCTCGAACCTGTAACAAACTTTATTTATTCACACATATTATTAATTAAAGACCATGTTAGAGTGTGCCTTGGATCTTAATGATCTAGATAGAACGAAGTAAGGAAAACTGAATGATGATTTTGAAAGGATAAGTGTTTGGAGTAGGTTAATGATCTTAAGGTTCAAAACATGTTCAATTGTTTCGAATTTACTTGTATATGGGTTCGTCCTATAGCTGTTTGGGCTTACGATTATAAGGATTCGTAGGTATAGATTATAATGTAATCACTTTGTAAACAATAAGAATCTTAAAAGATTCTTCGGTTCCTATCCGTAGATGTATGTTACATCGACCGAACCACAATAATTCTCATGAGTATCACATCAACATAAAAATTGCATACTAATATTTAAACGAATTGAAGAAAAACGTTTTTCTCCATATAAAATTGATTTGGCTCCTCCTTTTGTTTTAATGTTTATCAATAGTTCAAAGTTGACAAGTAACTTGTTAAGATCATTGTTTATTGTTTCGATTCGTTGTTGGGAGCCAAACGTTTTGCAAACATCAGATTTTCAATAAATGTCTTGGATTACTTCTTGTCTCCTAATTTGAGATTGAGGAACGCTACACAAATTTGATTATTCTCTTGGTGCATAAAACTTCATTGGTTTCCTAAGCACTTTAAGAATACAATGTCATGTAATGGACCATAAACACCCTAGATAAGATTCATAAGCATGGATCATTAGTGTAAAATGTACTTCTTTTCAAGGACTAAATTTGCCGGTTACCAATGTGTCTAGGGACTATTTTTGTAGTTGAATCCATACACAACAAATGAACAAGTTCACCACTCTCCACGCCTCTAAAAATAGAGAAAACAGCTGGGAGTCTTGGTTAGGGTTCTTCGATCGTGCATAAATCTGTGCAGCGTAATGCACTACTGATTTTAAGGCGTTGAAATCCGAAGGAAGTTGTCTGGCAATGGCTTTCGAGAGTAAAAAACTCATTAACAACCCTAATGGTAACTAAAATGACTCTTATCCTGTCAATTTTATTTTGACTTTTGCTTCATTCCTGCAAGTGCTTATTTGTTTCTGATTTTTTTGTATCTTTAACTCCGATTCTGTCGGACTACTTTTAGGACTCGTTAGATAAACTTTTGCGTTGATTTTAATGAAGAAATTTGATGCGTTCTGTTATATGTAGGCCACTTTACTTTTATGTGTGCTCTTTTGAGTTTTTGTAAGTAGAGCGATGATTTTCCTTTTCTTACATTTGATTGATGGGTATACTATTAAATTCTACTGCATAAAAGATCATCAACCAAGGACAAAGCATTCCGATATCTACTATTAACATCTTTTGCTTGTAACTGGTTTACCATCTGTGATAGTTTGATGGTTGTTCTGCTGATTTGCTTATGCAGTATTCTCCCTTTCCCAGAATAAAGCAATTCTGTATATATAAATTGGTATGTTTGACCATCTTTCGTCTATCTAGAATTCGATAATAACGGCAAACAGATAAATCTAGCTGGAAGAAAGCATTGTTATCAATATTCTGCAATGATTGGTAAAGGGAAAAGAGGTAATATTGCAGTAAAAACCTTGACTAAAAGAAAAGGTTTTTTTTTGATCTAATGGTGCTCGTATGCTATGCTTAGTTTTAACTTCTAAGCAGACCAGCCCTTGTTAACGATACAAAATAGGGCTAACTTGAGACTTGAGACTTGAACAACAAGATTAATGGCACCATGAAACTGTTGAACCTCTATTGATTCACTTAGTGAAGTTGTAGCTGGTTGCTGTCAACTTGAGATCTTAATGTGGACCATCAGCATCCATGTTACATCCTGTGATTAAAGCAATGAAACTAAAATATAAGGCAATCCCTACTCTCTAGCAAGCAAGCTGAATAACATAGCACTATCATATAACCTTTCTGACTGAGTGGATTCTTGTATTCCCATATATTGGTTCAATAAACGAAACAACAAGTTATCTTTAGACTTCAGGCCATGAACCTGTCTATTTGTTAGGACCTATTTTCAACACAACAAGAAAAGGCCAGAAAGCTAGGTAGAGAAGTATGGTTACAGTTATTCATAGATATGTGAGCAAAAGAGAAAGGTTCCTAAAATGCCACCGTTGTTGTCAACTATCATATCCACAGAGGTACTTCAGCATTGAGAATGATATAGCTATACAAGCATGAGTGTATGCACAATGCACTTGGTACTGAAGCGATTTGTCATTTGAAGGCTACTGTTCCCTGCAATCTGGATTGTTTCTCATTGGTGAATGCTCGTTTTCTTGGCTGAGGGATTATATGAATATTTCCCCCCCTAGTATTTCACTATCATTTATTATTTGATGCTCCATGATTGGATAACAAAAATACATTTCTTTAATAGCTTTCTTGAGGAGGTTGTTGAAATTTAGGGTCTAGGTCCAGGCCATATGGAATTATATGCGGGTAAGGATAAATGACCACTATGGTAGTTATTTGTAATCTGTGCACTACAAAAAAAAATGCAACCTCTTTTCAGTTGCATATGTTATGGTACAATCTAGATAAGTATGGAATGTTTTATAATCTAGTGATTCAAAATCTATGAGTGTTATGATTTCGGCCTTTATCTGGTTTGTTCCATTTGGTGTTTAGGGTTGATTTATTTTTTTGGTGTACTTGCTGCAGATGTGGTGACTGAGTTCATTGAGGGACTTGTAGAAACTTATCCTGGGTTGCAGTATTTGGATGGATTTCCAGAGGTGTGAAACTGTTTTAAAATTAAAGCATCATCTGTAGATTGCTGTACTACTACTACTACTAGTACTGATGTTCTGTAAACAAATACAACAGGTAAAGGTTGTTTTACGTGGTGATGTTTCAGGTCCAACATATGACAAAGTTGCTGTTATATCAGGTAAAATGTGTTTACATTGTGAGTTTTGGTTGGTTGGAGTCAACTACTGTTAGTGTTGTAAGTTGTAAGTTTTAATATATGTTTGAACCACAGGAGGTGGGAGTGGGCATGAGCCTGCTCATGCTGGGTTTGTAGGGGATGGGATGCTCACAGCAGCTATCTGTGGCGACGTTTTTGCCTCCCCACCTGTTGCCTCAATTCTTGCTGTATATCCCTTGCAGATCAATTGCTTCTCCTTTTGATTCTGCAGCTATTGTTATCATCCAATTCCAATCCAACTGCATTTGCATTTTGCAGGGCATAAGAGCTGTGACTGGGCCAATGGGATGTCTCCTAATTGTCAAGGCGAGGAGGAGTTGTTGAATGTTTCATTAATTGATTGATTGATGTCTTTGGATCAAATTTAACTGAAAGATATTTGATCTACAGAACTACACTGGCGACCGATTAAATTTTGGATTGGCAGCTGAGGAAGCAAAGTCTGAAGGTTACAAAGTAGAGGTGAGTGCCCACTCTTACTTACATAATATCAATATGAATATATAATATTTGTTTGTACTTTGTAGATGGTGATTGTTGGAGATGATTGCGCTTTGCCACCCCCACGGGGCATAGCCGGGCGAAGAGGTTTGGCTGGAACCATTCTTGTCCACAAGGTTTATCCTCATTGTAATCTATTTGCAAATACATGATAGGAACATGAATGCATACAATGATACGGATTTAGAATGATCTCCACATCCCTTGCTGTGAATATGATGTTTGAATTTATTTATATTCGTTGAGAAATTCAGATTGCAGGAGCAGCAGCTGCTTCTGGTCTTCCTCTTTCTGATGTTGCTGCTGAAGCAAGGCATGCATGTGGAGTTGTTGGTACAATGGGTGTTGCACTCTCGGTTTGCACGCTTCCGGGTCAGCCGAAATCCGACCGTTTAGGCCCAGGAAAAATGGAGCTTGGTCTTGGAATTGTAAGTTTATCTGCATTTTTTTTTTTTTTTTTTTTAATAATAATAAAAAAAGCTAACTCAAGTTGCATTTTTCTTCAGCATGGAGAACCTGGTGCTGTGGTGGCAGACATCCAACCTGTGGATTTGGTGGTATCCCATGTGCTGAATCGCATACTCTCATCAGTAAGTCACTTCAGACCGATTCATTGGTTTGGTTTTATGATTTTATCTTACACTACACACAGTACGCACTGCCTTGCTTGATAGTTGATATGCCATCAAAAGTTGGGTTATGTTGTCAACTGAAAGAATATCCAGGATACCCAAAAGTTATTTTTTTTGGTCCTCAACCAGGGGAATGTTATATGTTTGTTGTGTGTTGAACCTGAATATATGTTTTTCTTTTATTTGTTTGTTTTCAACTTAATGTTTCTGTCTTTTCAGGAGACTAACTATGTTCCAATTAAACGTGGGAGTCGTGTTGTACTTATGATTAACGGGTATGCAATGTAATCTCTCTTGCTTGGTTGCTTCTTGCCCTTTGATAAGTCGTATCGTATCTTTCCCTAGCCTATGTTAACATTTTAAGGGAAGTCAGAAGCTATCTCTATATGCATATTGTTTTATCTTTTTCAAAGTAAATAAGATTGGTAATTATTATGTATTTCTTTTTGACAAATTGGATTTGTGATTTGAAAATTGTAAATCTCAGATTAGGGGGGACACCTGTAATGGAACTGATGATTGCTGCCGGAAAGGCTGTTCCTATTTTACAGCTGGAACATGGAGTAGCTGTTGTTAGAGTGTATACAGGGTCATTCATGACTTCTCTTGATATGGCAGGTTTGTTAAGTTCATTTGTTTTCTGATGCAAAAAAGGTGGTTAATATCTCTGTGTTGTGTTGTGGTGCAGGGTTTTCAATATCTATAATGAAGGCAGAGCAGGCAATTCTGCAACGCCTGGATGCTGCAACCAAGGCTCCGCATTGGCCTGTTGGTGTTGATGGTTGGTAATTCCATTTGATTTGATTATGATATAGTTATTAGTTAGTTTAAAATTACAATTCAATAAATATATGGTTGGTGGATATACAAATTGATTTCCAAAGTGACAGATGGTGGATATCTGTACACATATGATATGAATGATAATGGAACTCAGTAGTTGTAGTTACTTGATGCTTGTAGGTGATCATCCGCCTGCCAAGATTCCTGTTCCAGTTTCCGCCTTCTCGTTCTGCAAAGAATGATGAGGTTGTTGAGAAGAAAATGCCATTTTTTTTTTTTTTTTTTAAAATTTTATAATAACTGTGGGCTCTGAGTGCTTCTGATCTGCTTCTTACCGATAAGCAAAACTGTTGTTATTTATTTTCTTGGTCTGTTATATTTGAATTCCCATAGAAAAGCATGTGATGTGAATGTCAGGTATTGAGTCGACCAGAGCAGCTGAATGAGCAAGGTCGTGCACTGGAGGTGGCTATAGAAGCAGCAGTCTCAGCAGTTATTCAACTCAAGGACAGTTTGAATGAGTGGGACAGCAAAGTGGGAGATGGTGACTGTGGATCAACAGTAAGTCTAAGTCCACATCCAGATTTTGGTATTATCATCATCTAAATCCTAACTTATATTATAATTTACAGATGGCTAGAGGCGCAACAGCTATTCAACAAGACTTGAAGAAGTAGTATGTTATGTTCTCCCTCTACTATTCATTCAATTATTATTATTATTATTATGTGCATGCAATGCGTCATTGAATTACTATTTTTCTGTTTTGTAGCTATCCCCTGAATGATGCTGCAGAAACCATTAATGAGATAGGATCATCTATCCGAAGAGTCATGGGAGGAACAAGTGGAATCCTGTATGTATTAATTATTATTACTCAACTTTCTTTCTACAAGTTTGTTTTTTTTACAATCTGTTTTGATTTTTCTGAAACAGATATGACATATTTTGCAAGGCAGCATATGCACGGTTGAAACTGAACAGCCAATCAGACGCTGCTATTACACCACTCCAATGTGATAACAATTTTGTCTTAGTATTTCTTCTTTTGGCATCCTTCACATGTCATTTACATATATGATATATGATATATCTGTGACTGTGCAGGGGCTGATGCATTTGAAGGGGCCATCAGTGCTGTTATGCTATATGGTGGGGCTGCTGCAGGCTATCGCACTATGCTGGATGCTCTTATTCCAGCTTCAACACTTCTCAAACAGGTTAGGTTAGAATTAAATATATAGCATCCTGCTTTCTTTTCTTCTTTTTACATACAAAGCATAGCAACTACACAATCATAGCATAGCAACGTCATTCAAATATCTTAATTCAAACTAGGATATGCTATAAGTGGGTAGATTCTCGCCCTGATAAGGAAAAAAAAAAAAAAACTCAAAGTAGAAAGAAATGGAAATATGTATAAACAGATGAAATGAAAAAAACATGGGTATTTCTTGCATTTCGCC